TTCGTTACATACGTTACATACATTGCACACCAACAACATACATGTATATATATATATATGTACACATATAATCAGAAAGGAAGAGGAGAAACTCTGAGCCCCGGAAGTGCATACTAGAGGCTGACTCTCGCCACCGTGCTGTCGGCTTCTCTCTGCTGGAAGGCCTTTCGACTCTCAAGCTTTGGGTCCAAAATGGGCTGCTTGGAGGTTCATGGGTAGTTATAAGTAGGGTTATAAGTCCCGTAATATGAGTTATATACCCATGAACCTCCAAGTGGGTTTAGGGTAAAGGCGTCTTCAGCTTTCATGTAAGGGACTTAGCAAGACGACTGCGGCATGGGGACTTCCGCTGGGATCTTTTGTTTTTTTAGGGGGTCTGGGGTATGCAACTGCACTAGCACCATGCAAAGCTACTGACGAGGTGCAAAGTGCGGCTTTTGAAAAGAGCGCGCAGCGCAGTCTCGGGCCTTCCCAGCCCCTTCGAGAAAGTCAACTACTTAAATAAGTAGCCTATGAACTTTACCCCGCCTCGTTCCTCGCGGCAGTCACCAACTGATTTCGACTCCAGACCAGAAGTGCTACAACCACAACCCCCAAGCCCCTGCAACAAAAAGAGAGCATCACATCACCTCGACGCCACAATGACCTCCTTGGGCGCTACAAACAATCATTATGTATTCGGGGTTATTATAAGTTATAGGGTTGAAGGGCTTAGGCTTTGCTAGTTTAGGGTTGGCAATTGGGAGCCTGACATCAGACACGCCAGCCACCATCAATGAATACCCTCAACCCTAAACCCCCTAAAGCCCTTAAGCCGTAATCCCACAACACCCCAACTGACACCCTTGGAACGATATGGGAGTTTCCGAAAATAGGGGACCCTAATAATTTAGCACCCTAAATAGTAGGATCCTTATCACAAGGACCCCAAAAGCTTGGCTCTCCGGCTCTCCCGGCTTTGACGGCCAAGGCTGTCGAACTTAGGCAGCTTCTGCTCCTGTTTGGAGTTTAGGGGTTCGAGGCCTAGGGCTTTGGGGGTTGAGAGGGTTTTGGGGTGCAAGGGGTTCAGGGCTTTCGGGTTAGAGTTGAGGGCTTTGGGGTTAGGGTTGAGGGCTGAGGGATCAGAGTTGAAGCCTTCGCCGTTTGCAAGTTTAGGGGCTTAGGGTCTAAAGTTTAGGATTTATAGGGGTTCAGGGGTTGAGGGGGCGGGTTCAGGGTTTGAGGGTGATCAAGGCAGCGCGGGCTTTGAGCTTCTGCACCGGTTGTTTTGGTCTCATTTCATGTTTCTGGGGCTTGGGGCCTTGATTTGTCGATCGAAGGATGTCCAGGCTTCATACGGTATATGGCTAAAGTGCATCAGGCAAGACTTAGCTAGAGGCCCAAACATCGCTGGAAAGGTGTCGGGAGGGGCAGCAATAGTGAGACTATCATCAGAATCATGTGCCTACTTCTTGCTCATTTGCAGTTGCTATTGCCCTAAACTCTACAAACCCTGTCTGTCTGAGTCTGGGATTCGAGTTGTGTTTAGGGTTTGGGGCCTCCAGACGGTGTTAAAGATTGCGATGTTGATCACTTCGGTTTCAGGTTGAAGGTGAAGAGTCTGAGTCGGGTGTCCCGGAGTCGAGGGTTCATGGATTTATGGGCCTTAATTAAATTTATAGGGCCGTGATTAGGGTCCATGTTGGCGACTTCCAGATTCGAGGTGTGAGATGACACCAAGGCAGGATCCAGCGGAGCACCCGAGAGCCCAGCCTCGTAATAGTAGCTCTTCTCGCGCGGTAGGTCGGCTACCACGGAGTAAACCTGTGTGCTAAGGATTCCAACTTGGGCGATACCAAAGGATTCCAACATCTCCCCAATACAGAGAACCCTGATTGCCCAGAAGCTCATGAAGGATGCATCTTGAAACGGTTAAACCCTGAAGCCCTACACCCCTAAACCCTACACTCTACATGATTTAAATGTTTCCCTACCCAGCGGGTCCATGTATACTACCATTATGGCATTAGGTCCCAAAAGACCATCCCCATTATTCCCCATTAACTGCGGGTTTTGGGACCTAACTCCATAGTAGTGGTGTATATGGACCCTTCTACCTATGGGTCTTGGATACAAGCAGCACCCACATCCGTCACCGATCCAAGGGGTTGCAGACAACCCTGTTATCCTAAGACCAAGACCATTAATATATGGGCCTTAAGAATTAGATTACAGTTCCAGTGCCCATTTTTAGAAAAATATGAGAAGGACCCCCACCCCCCAAAAAAAAAACAAAATAAAATGGTATAGGTAAATATTCAGGCCCCGATATGACATGCCTTCCCAAGACAATCTTCAACTCCCTGACCGGTCCCCTACTGTTGATGGACAAAATCCTGCATGACCTTTAGGACTCTAAACTACGGGAAATATGGTATATTCCTTATAATGGGTAATGCAGGATTTTGTCCATTAACAGTACGTCATAGAGGTCCTTGACAAATAGAACTGTCACTTGGAGGTTCATGGGTAGTTATAAGTGGGGTTGTAACTAGGGTAAACTATACCTATAACCCAAATTAGGGGAATTAAAACCACACTTATAACTAGCCCTGAACCTCCAAGTAGACTATTGATTGCACGGACTATCAGCGGATGCGGTTCACATTAATTCAGGCATGTTCAGACCTATTCACAGTCCCTGGTTTTGCCAGGCCTCCCGAAGCTCTTGTCGCAAAATGAGCATCCGATCCGAAAGGTGATTGAATCCGCCTTCCACTGAACCTGCAAGCTTTGGGATTCATTGGGATTAGATTGAATCTGCCTTCCATTTCTGCCTCCCACTGAACCTGTAGGCTTGTCTTCGAGCGTGGGAACAGAGAGATACGGGCTTGTGGGTTCTATGCGGCCACGAAGAAAAACAACCAGTGACGTAACGCCTTCTAGGAGCTAGGACACAGAATCATGCGAGAGTCAAGAGTTGTCATCTGTTGCAACTACAGACAGTCGTTAAGCATCGTAGAAGGATAGCAACAGAAACATGGATTGGCGGAAGCTCTGCCATATATTGCAATTTCGCATGCTGGTCTGGTAGCAACAGAAATAGGGATCTGCGGAAGCTCGGTAATTTGCATGCTGGTCTGCAAGAAGGCAGACAGCGTCTGCGAGTGTGGTCTGCAGAAGGGACATGCCCACAAAACCAAACTCTAAATGGACGACCCCTTATGCCATGACTTATGAACCCTTATGAGCCCTAAACTCCACAAGACAACAAGACATGCACCTCGCTCAACCGTTATCCGATTTTCCCACCGAGCATCCGGCCTCGCAGCTCTTGCAACTCGGGCGCAACATCGACGGGAACATCCTCACCGGCTGAATATACCTATTACGCCTTTAGGCGAGGTAGCAGATTTTGGTTGATATGTTGAGCTCGAACAGCGGGATGACCGAACTCAAAAAGCACATGATTTTGTCTGGACCAGTGTTCCAAACATGTAGTTTCGAAGTCGGAATATATACAGCAAAAATTCCCTGGCCCTGGAACAAAGGATGCTGGAGTGTGCCGCCAAAGCCTACTCAATGTTCAAAGGCCCCTATGCTGGATCTGGCTTGAAGCTCTGGTTTCAAACTACAGAACTGACGGTTTAAGGGTTCAGTGTAACGGTTGATGATATAAATCCTGCATTACCCATAGTAAGGTATATACCATGATTTCCATAGTTTTGGGTCCTTAAGATAATGCAGGATGTATATCATCAACAGAATCAGCCTGCTTTAGCTGTTCGACGTGCTGCGCCACGCGTTACAGGGAGACAGAAAGCGGATGGCGAGTCTGTGCCTTTCCATGGCCTCGAATGAAGATGGGTGGTTGTCAAAATTAGGACACCTTTTTGGGCACCCTAAATAATTAATAGGTGCCTTATGTATTATTATAAGGACCCAAAAAGGGGCCCTAATTTTGACAACTACCCAGATGTGGGATGATAACAGGCCCCCATTCTGGCGTCGCTGTTGCGACAGACTCCAACAAGAATCAATAGCTGAATCATGGATACCAAATCCCTCCCGGCCACAAGCATTATAGCAGAATGCTCGTACCCCAACGGCGCCACTTAGTTACGTAAACACATACACACCATATATGTGCAGATGTATGTATCTGTAAAAGCTTATACGCATATATGTATATGTATGTTCATGCATACTTCTATCTATCTATCTATCTATCTATCTATATATATATATATATATATATTGCACGTAATTGCACCATACACCATCACATCGCAATCTGTTTTGTGTTCTAGTACACCGTCTTACAGCATGCTATAGTCTGTGCATTCCATTACACTGGGTAACTGTTTGCAGAGGTGACACAAATCATCAAGATAACCTTAAGCTTTTTTCGCAAAATGATTGGAGGATCCCTACCACAAAGGCCGAAAGAAGGGGGTGCTGGGCTAAACCTAAAACAGCGACGTCTGAATCATAAAGTCACCGATAACCAACAGAGCAGCAATCCGTCCTGGGCAGGCTGCAGAAACTGAAGCTCCTGCTGAAACCGGCGCAGGAAATGCCGTAGCTCCTCTTGGGCCTCAACACAGTGTTAGGGCCTTCAGGACTTTGGGTTTAGTTGCGAAACTTGGGGATTGAGGGCTTTGGGTTTCGTTGCGAGACGTGGAGATTGAGGGTTCAGGTTTAGGGTTTAGCTGCGCAACTTTGGGGTTTAGGCTTTACAGAGCTTTGCAGGATTTAAGACCAAGCCCATGGATATGTATATATATATATATATATATAGGGTTTGGATCGAGCCTACCAGGAAAGGTAGGAATTGCCGAGCCCCAGTGCTTGGAGCCATCACGCCGCGATCACCGACGTGGCACCGGCGAGAGCGAGCACGACGGTCAAAGGATCGGGCCAGGATCAGGACAGCCAGACGGCTTGCTCTGCCTGCCCCGCTGCAGTCGTTGAAGCGACTTGCAGCTCACCACAGCCGACCGCAATTCAGAGAACTTGTGATGGGCGGCTCGCGCAAACAAGGAGGATGGGACAAGAACGTCGAGCAGTGGCGAAAGCAGCCTGGATCTGGAGGACCTGGTTGGCAGGACTGGGAGCAATCGCGGTGGCGCAGGGACCGATCGGAACAGGGTCCGGCTTTCCCGCGATACGAGTCCATGGAAGTGCAGAATGCTGGCCGCCACGAAAAGGGATTGCCCAGTCGGCCCGAGGACAAGCCGGAGCCGGAGAGCCAGCCTACCAGAGCCAAGCAAGTCCAGAAGTACGCCACGAATGTTCGCAAAGCGGAGGCGAAGATACGCAAGGCGACCCAGGAGAAGACGGCGACGCAGGCCAGATGGGAGAAGTACCAGATCCAGCTCAAGGAGGCTTTCCTCGAGGAGCACGCCAGGTACAAGGCGGACCTGCGGCGAATCCACGAGGAGATGGAGGAGGAAAAGGGACTCCAGAAAGAAGCGGAGGCGGCGCTACAACAACTCATGCTGAACCCGGAGGCTATGATCGAGCCAGGGGCAAAGTCAGTGGACCCGGAAGCCGAGGCCGAATGGGCCCGGATGATGAGAGCACCGCCAGAAGAGATGGATCTGGACGAGGACTTCGGCGGCTCCCAGAACTTCGACCCCACGAAGCTGATGAAGTTCTTGCAGGCAGTACGTGGCCTGATCCCGGACCTGGAACCGCCCCACAAGGCACCGACACAGCAAATCGAGGTGCCGGCCCCAGTCCAGGAGAACAAGACCTATGTCCCTGCCAGGGTGGTGACCGACTTTGGCTCCCACCCCTACGCGGCGTCACCGAGCGGCAGGCACACCATGCCATCGCCTGGAGCAGCGAAGCCAGCCCTCTCGCCGTCGAAACACATGCCCATCCACCTCCCTGGGAGAAATGTCCCGAAGCCAGTGGCGGGAACCAGGCTGGCCAAGCGACTCAAGGACCGGGCGGACCAGTCCATTCCAGTGGACTCGGAGGACGACGAGGACGCCCTGATCGACAACCTCAAGCGGCCGCCGGATGGTCCCAAGATCGGTGGGCTCGATTAGCAGAGGGCCTGCCTGGGCCTACTGTGGGAGTACGACGAAGTTCGTGCTCGGGCACGGAGGCCCAGCGTATGACTATGAGCCCTGGTTCTGGGGACAAAAGTTTTGGGCGAGGTCATGGGTGGCCTCGTAAGAAAGGGCACTACCGCCGGATCTATGACATCTACGACCTCGCTTTCATGATGATCGAGGCTCTGGATGTCCCTCTTTTTGACCTCATGGCAATGTACGTCTCTGTCTACGGATGTGGTTGGAGTCAGACACTTGCCTTTCTTTTCTTGCTAGCGGAGCTTATGCTGCTCTTCTCGCACCTTCGATGGAGCAGACCGTTGGCATGCGGCCGCAAAGGCCGCAAGAGCACCCCTCGCTGGTGCTGGATCTTGACGGCAGTCACGATCATTGGGCGCGTGGAAGCCACGAATTCGTGGGCAGCCAGGCCACGAGCCCCACTCAGTGATGTTGACCTTTGGCGGATGGGACAACGGTCGCGATTTGAGCAACTGGCGATGGCCTCGCAGAGGATCATAGACCAGACGCCCCTGCACAGCGGTGGACTGATGCCTGACAGGCTCTATGCGACGGGGCCACCTCTGGTCGAGCCACGTCCACCTGACCCTGTTGAGTTCAATGAGGACCATGAGGAAGAGCTGGCCAACAACGAGGAGGAGATTGAGTCCCACCACATCTCCTTCTGGATCACCTCGCCATACATCGAGCCCTCGTCGATTGATGTGGCCCTCTCCTTCCCGATCTCACTGTCGAGGATAAAAGAGGTTGTCGACGACAGCATTGACGGACTTGGGACCTATTGGTTAAATGACCTCTATCCCACCGTCCCGCAGCTCAGCGACCACTACGGCACCATGGTCCTAGTACCAGAGTGGATGTACCACTCGGACGTGCGGGCAATACTCATTGATGCCAGGGGCATCAACAAGGGCATCTTCTCTGAGTATGTCTCCAGCCCGATCACGAGGTTCTTGGTGCTTAGCAAGATCGACCTAGAAATGGATGCCGAAACCGATGTTTATGCGGGAGGTGCTTTGGCCCCACTCCTCGAGGGAGACCAAGTACGAGCCCAACATGGCACACTTGTCCAAGTACTCCCTCGAGGTACAGCTGTGCAGTGGTCCGACCGCATGGAGGACAGGCTTCAGGACCCACTTCGCTGGGACCCTGATGAACGACATCCCGACCTACTACCAGGACGTTTCGTGGAGATGCAAACCCTTGCCCGCCGATGCCTCCACCCCATCACTCGGGGGGAAGAGCTCAACCCGATGGTTGTGGCCCAAGATCGATTTGGGATCGACCCGGCGACTATGTGGTTGCGGGCGCCTACGGAGAGACCAAAGGGGATGCATGATCGTGGGCGAAGGGTGCACTCCGTTGTAGCGGTGCTTGATGAAAGACGACACCCAAAGGCGACCACGGCGGCGGTCACCATAGACCTGAGACCTGTGGGTAGACAGATCCTATGGGCAGCTGCCCCAAATGGGGTCTTTGACCCGGGAGAGTATGTCGAGGGACTGCAGCTCCCAGTCGTACAGGGGTTTTCCATTGTGGTACATGGAGGACGGAAAATTGGTGGAGGGCAACTACGAGTTGCTGACGGCGACCTGCTGGAGATCACCCTCCGGCCCACGGCGGACCTCACACCGACTGGTTCCGATGAACCGGAGCTCGCAGCCGGACCCCGACTAGACGAAACCGGTCGCAGAAAGGCCAGGGAAAAACCATTCGGCTGAACGAATCCCTCCCGGATGCCCACAAAGCTGAACACTACAGCATTTCCGTGCAGACGGTGGTGCTCCCCCAGGCCAAGTTCGACCCGATGACCCTCTACCGACCCTGGGCCCCACAATGGCTCCAGTTCGATCCAACGACCCTCGACCTCCCACAATGCACCGTCCAGGCCCTGCAGGATTTCTGGCCCTGGACCACTGTGCTGAAGGAGGGTGCGGACCATGGAAATCTTCGGATTCGCCTCTATACGGATGGGTCGTGGACTGAAACATCCAGATGCGGAGGCTTTGCTGTGATCTTAGTCCTGGAGTCTGGAACGCACAGTTCCTTCTTTGGCGCTGTCTGCGCGCAAACTCAGGGAAAACAGGACTCCCTGTGGAATCACGCAGGCCCTCCGGCCTTGAGGAATGAGCAGTACGCGATTGCCAGCGCAATGTTATGGGTTTTCCAGTCGCTGCCCTTCCTTGCGTACCAGGCGGTGACCTTCTGTTTCGACTGCTTGGCCGCAGGACTTGCGGCTAGCGGAGCCTGGACTCCTGATTGCGCCCTGATGCAGCGCATCCGAGACCTCCAGCTCTGGCTTGAGCAGGCAGCTGGGACTACTATCGTCTTTGAGCATGTGAAGGCGCATAGTGAACACCCTATGAACGAGCTGGCTGATCGAGTCGCCAAAGCAGCAGCCAGAGGACACCTCCGAGACTACGAGCCGCCGGTTGAGGCTGTCCAACTGATTCTGCAGGAAGACCTGTCATGGATTGCCCCCACGCTGGACTTGAGGCAACGGGAGGCCATCCCCTTTGCGCGGGGGGGGCTCGTACAATGGGAGCCGGACATGAACTTCACGCCCTTCCAGCTCGAGGCACACCATGTGATCCCCACCACGACCAAGTACGTTGGTAGACAGGCCTCGTCCTCGATGCAGGTTGAATGCGTTGCTGTCTCTCTTAATGTACAAGGCCTTCGGGACAAGCATCGCTATCTCGAAGAACAATTCGATGAGGCACACTGCAACCTCGTTTTCCTGCAGGAAACGAAGTCGCCGATGGGAGTGTGCTCATCCAAAGCCTACCTTCGGCTCGGCACTGACCACCAAAAACACTGGGGTGTCGGTGTGTGGGTGAGCAAAACGAGAGGCCTCTTTACAGCGGATGGCTCCTCGGTCCAGGTCACGGAGCAGGACATGTATGTGGTCAAGGAAAGCCCCCGACTGCTTGTCCTTGAGATCACGACGGCAGGCCTCCGCTTTGTTATCTTTGCTGGCCATTGCCCACACACTGGACAAAGAGCTGCTGCCTCGCAATTCATCGAGGAGCTCCGGGACACCCTCTACCCACTCCGGGGGGCACATGTGGTGATTGGTGGTCTCGCCTGATTTCGAACAGGTCACCGGGAACCTCCAATATGGGGACACCGATGCCACTGGCAGAGAGGTGGCCGCGGCCCTGCATGATCTGGGGATGTGGATCCCAAGTACCTTCTCCAGCTACCACAAGGGGGACTCCTTCACGTATCGCCATCCTCAGGGACAACTTCATCGGCTCGACTTCGTTGTCCAAGGGGGCAAGCTCGAGGTTTGTCAGGCTGCCAGCTCAGTCTTGCTCTACGAGCTCGACACTGGTGGAGCCTCAGATGACCATTGGGCCATCAGGGCCCATTTCCGAGGTTTCCTCCCACAGACAGGGGAGCAGACCAAAATTTGGAGACCTCAGTACGATCGGGTCAGATTGCTGAGTCAGGAGGGGAAGAAACTTGTGGCAGAAGCAACGCAGGCCTACCAGCCGCCTCCTTGGAGCACCAACCCTGACGAGCACTGCCATCATTTCACCTCCTATGTCCAGGCACTCCTCGAAAAGCACTTCCTCAAGCAGCCCAATGCCCCTCGTGCAGACTATATCCCTGAACAGACCTGGCAGCTCCGTACAGCAAAACTTGCCCTCAAGTACAAAACGCGCCACCGCTCCAACCTTTGGAGTAGCCTGCTGGTACGAGCTTTCCTTCAATGGAAAGATGACGCTGACTTCGGAGTCAGTCGGCTGATTGTCAAGCACGGGTTCCTCTACCAGCTCGCTTCCACTGCTATCGGGGTTGCCACAAACGCCATCAAGAAGGGCATCAGGAATGCCAAGGCGGATTACCTTCGCACGGTCGTTCGGCAAGGCGGCCCCCGCCCCACGGATATCCTTTGCCACCTCAAGCGTGCAGGAGTTGGTGGAAAAAAGACTCGTCAGCCACAACGACAACTGCCACTCTTACTTGATGCGGCGGGCCACCCAGTGCGGACCCGGAAGGACAGGGACCTACTGTGGCTGAGACACTTCGGCAAGCAAGAGGTTGGACAGATTGAGGAGGTCAAGGCCTTCCTACAAAGGGAGCACCAGCCCGTTTGCATTGACCAGGAACTTACCTGGCAAGTCGAGGACCTGCCCAGCCTTGGCGACATTGAAGCCGTCATCCGTTTGGCGCCCAAAGGGCGAGCTGCGGGTTTGGACGGCATCCCTGCTGAAGTGCTGAGGGCGGCGCCGGGGCATATGGCAGCGGCACTCCAATCCCTCTTTACGAAAGCCTCGCTGATGTTGAGGCAACCCTTACAATGGCGTGGGGGCCTGCTGTACGAGTGTTGGAAACAGAGCGGGAGACGATGCGATCCGGCTTCCCACCGAAGCTTGTTTGTATCCTCTGTTGTGGGGAAGTGCCTGCACAAGCTCACACGGAGGAAAATACAAACTGTCGTCAATGAGGGACTTCATGAATTTCACCTCGGAGCACGTCGAGGCCAACCAGTGCAGTACCCTGCAGCCTACATCCTCTCCTTCATTCGACGTGCCCATGCTCAGAGCCGGTCGATTGGAATTTTATTTTTGGACGCCGAGGCTGCGTACTACAGGATTTGCAGGGACCTTGCCACGGGGCTCATTGAAACGGACGAGACGGTGACCGCCATCTTCAAGCGCTTCAACATCCCCCCCGAAGACCTCCACATGCTCATGCAGGAGGTCCAAGAGGGAGGGATGATGGCTGATCTTGGAGTTCCGGCTACGATTCGGCACATGGCCAAGGACCTCCATGCCAACACTTGGTTCATTTCCCCCCATGGAGACGGGGCCCTGCTTTCCCGCACCAGTGCGGGGAGCAGGCCTGGTGAAAGCTGGGCGGATGCTATTTTCAGTTTCGTTTTCGGCAGAGTCCTGGCCCGCATCACCGAGATCGCAAGGGGAGAGGACCTCTTGGACACCCTACATGCCGATTTGGCTGAGGGGCCTTTCGCCACGAAAGGAGGCGGTGATGAGGCTTGTGCCAGTGATGCGACTTGGGCTGATGACAGCTCCTGGGCGATCACGGATGCCTCGCCCTTGAGATTGATGGCCAGGGTTACCCGCCTCTGTTCGGTCGTTCTCGGACAGTGCCAAAGCTACGGCCTCGTCCCGAACTTGAAGCCAGGGAAGACGGCCCTACTGGTGCGGCTTCAGGGCCAAGGTGCCAAACAGGCCCGGAAACACTATTTCGACCATGGCCCCCGGTCGGTCTGTCTGGCTGATGTGGCCCTGGAGGTTGAAGTGACCAACCACTACAAACACCTTGGAGGTATGGTGGAGACCACTGGCTACGGTGGATGTGAGGCCAAGAGGAGGCGAGCCATCGCGTCCACGGCGTTCGACAAGGGCAAGGATCTCCTCTACCTCAACACAACCATCCCCATTGGGACCCGATCTTCGCTGGTCAACATTGCTGTCACGGCGACACTTCACAACCTGGCGCTATGGACCCCGGCTGGCCCCCAATGGGAGAAGCTTTGTCAGGGTTACGCCCGGCTGGTTCGGCGGCTTCTCACCAGACCTCCTCCACATCCCCGCCGTTTTCGGGCTTGTGGGCACCGACTCCCTCCCGCTTCACCTTTTGGCTAGGAAGGCTCGGCTTTCCCTCCTTGCCTCCATGGCCAAGACAGCCCCTGTGGCTCTATGGGCAGCGTTACAGGCTGAAGGCAACTGGTTGGAAGCGGTCCGCCAGGACTTACTTTGGCTCAGAAGCGGGGAAGCAGAACGGTGGCCAGAGCTTGGACCTGCACACTGGCCAGCCTGGCGACGCCTCCTCCTTGAATCGACTCCATGGTTCAAGAGACAGGTCGCGAAAAAGCTGGTGAAGGAAGGTGCGGCCTACCACAAGGAGCAGAAAATGGCTCTCACCCTTTGGGCTCTCTACAGGAGGGCGATCGACTACCTACCGGACGAGAATATGCCGACCACCCAGCATGTCTGCCGGCCATGTCTGCGAACCTTCCGAACCAAGGGTGCGCTGGGAGCCCACTTCCAGAAGACCCACGGCCGATGCGCGAAGTATCGAGCTGTGGTTGCGGGGTCGCTATGCAAGTCGTGCGGTGTCCAGTTCTGGACGGTTGGGCGACTAGCCCGGCATCTCCGGGACACGCCTACCTGTGTGGCCACGTTGCGAGCGTGTGGCCATACTGTCGCGGAGATTGCGCCGGGTACTGGCAGTCGGGCACGACGCAAGGCGGACATGGATGGATACCACCCGGCCCCACCGACACGCCTTCGCGAGCCCACGGAGGCCTGCGCATCCTCTGATTGGGACCAGACACAGAGGGAGGCCTATGCCAAGCTGTGTGAGGTCTTCCTTGTCGAGAACCTCGAGGTGACCCAGTGTACGGCCCTCGAGCTCCTGCGGGGAACTGTGGCGTGCTTCCCCCTCTACTTTGAAGAGGCTAAGTCGGTCGTCGGGAAGCTCCTCGAGGAGATTGACTCGGTCGAGACCGAGCTTCTTGACGATTTCTGGTCACCGTCGACCCTGCCGGGCAATCCGACGAGCGGCCGACTCCTTCTTGGCTGAGGAATGGCCAGTTGGCGACGATTGTGAAGGGCCTCGGCAGCCCCCAGCCACCTTCGAGACACTCAACGGCGAGGTTGAGAAACTCAGGTGGTCCGATGTGGTGAGAAAGGTCCGCGCCCTCCACGGGACCCGGCGAGCTACGGCATGGCTGCTACCTCCTGACTGGGAAGCTGAATGGCAGAAGTGTAGCGCCGTAGTTAGCTCTTCAGCCGTGAAGGGACGACTGTGGTGTTGGATACCAAGGGCACTCCAGCAGACATGGGATCATTTTCTCAAAGGAGATGATGTGACCGTGGATGGTCCTGCTAGCTTTTGGAACAGCCCACTTGCGGAGCCCTTTCTCACCTTCCGCGCTGTGCACACCAATTAAGCTGCGTACGACCACTGAAGGCCTGCAAAGCAAAATATATATATATATATATATATATAAATGTGGGTGTCGGTTTAATAGTAGGGTACCCCCCCCCAACCAAAAAAAAAAATCTATTTGATATGGAGCCGGTGACGCCGGGACAGGGGTCAGGGGTCTGAGTGGCAGGGAATTGGTTTGGGGGCTGGCTTGGGTGCAGGGTCTGCGGTTCTGCGCGAATGCGCGGTCGGGGGTCGGGGGGGTCTGGGGATCACCAAATGCTGGAAACCAAGCCCCGATCACTCCAAGATTACTAGCAAGACTACAAACCCTTCATTTTGAACACTTTTGCCTCCGTAACCTACACTCCCACACTCTCACCCACAATCGACCACGTCTGAAGCTTGGTGCGGTACAATAATAGTACAGTAGTACAATAGTAGTACAGTAGAAATGATACAGTAGTAGTACAATGGTAGTAGAATAATCGTGCAGTAGTACAATAGTAATACAACAGTAGTACAGTGGTAGTACAATAGTAGTACAGTAGTAGTACAATAATAATACAGTAGTACAATAGTAGCACAATAGTAGTACAGTAGTAGTACAGTAGTAGTACGATAATAGTACCGTAGTACAATAGTAGTACAGTAGTAGTACAGTAGTAGTACAATAATAGTGCAGTAGTACAATAGTAATACAACAGTAGTACAGTGGTAGTACAACAGTAGTACAGTAGTAGTACAATAATAGTACAGTAGTACAATAGTAGCACAATAGTAGTACAGTACAGTAGTAGTACGATTATAGTACCGTAGTACAATAGTAGTACAGCAGTAGTACAATAATAGTGCAGTAGTACAATAGTAATACAACAGTAGTACAGTGGTAGTACAATAGTAGTACAGTAGTAGTACGATAATAGTACAGTAGTACAATAGTAGTACAGTAATAGTACAGTAGTAGTACAATAGTAGTACAGTAGTACACTAGTAGTACAGTAGTACAGTAGTAATACAGTAATAGTACAGAAAATAAAGCCAGTGAGCACATTCCCCCAATAAGCAAAGAAACCCTAAACCCTGAACCCTAAACCCTAACAAACCCTAAACCCTAACGAATCCTAAACTGCTAAACCCTAACAAACCCTAAACCCTAAGCCCTAAACCCTTCCCAAAGGGGGGTCGGTCCAGATTGGACCCAACATTGAATTTTCTATACAAACTTTAGTACTGGAGAAACCTTTGTCGAGCAAGGGTCCAATTCCCAATTCGGCGGTTCACCCTAGCAGCCCCCCCAATAAGCAAGGCATACAGTAGCAGTACAATAGTACAATAGTAGTACAGTAGTAGTACAGAGTCTCATTCCTGACGCCCCAATAAGCGAAACAATTCTGCAAGAGATTGTCGGGCTTCAGGGCCAGGGTTTTAGGGTTGGGTGGGGGTTTGAGTGGGGGTTTAGGTCGTGGCTGCCCTAAGATTGACCATCAGCAAATAGCACAGCCCCGCCACCAAAAAATCACCCCAGCCAAAAAACAACGCATTAATTAGTACCCCTAAATTTTTGGTCAGATTCGGAATTAGCCCCCGAGCCGACGCATTAAAGGAGCCTATATTCCAAAACCGACACCCACATTATATATATATATATGTATATATATATATATATATATACGCACTTCTATATCTGAATATACAAATATATATATATATATATATATATATATATATATATATACATATATATATATATATATATATATATATATATATACAACAGGCATATTGCCCAAGAACCTTGGCTCGTAGCCTTTGCGCTGCAGAGCCTGTCTTTCCCCTCGCTCTTTGCGGGGATGGGCGAAATTAAAGACAACCCCGCACTCTAGCACCTCATCCCGATGCGTAAACAAGACAACCCCACAGGCCCAATGCCCAAAGCCTCGACCCGACATAGACCTGGCCCTCAACCCTAAGCCACAAACCCTTAACATCGCCCCTGCCTGAACCTGCGACCGGTTGCACTCGTGCACGGCGTCCGTCATGATCTCGCAACGGCCATTGATCGTAGCCAGGTCAGCTTGGACGGTCTTCCTCCAGTTACGGCCTACTTGTCGAGTATCACGGGGAACTAAAGGTTAACCTTGTTGGTTATATAGGGATGATATAGCGGCTATACTAAATACCCTAAAATGGTTAAAGGTTCCCTACTTTGCTACTAGGCAAGAGTTAGGATTTGCGGTCGTGTGATTCGAGGGCCTTGAAGTTTGGGGTTTACTCAGCTTCGGATTTGCGACTGGAAGGATTGAACACAAATTCGATTTTAGGGCTTGGATGGTTCAAGGGAGTTTGGGAATTGGGCATTGAGGGTTGAAGGAGCTTAAGATTTCGAGCTGGCACCAGCAGACAACGAGTAGTTATAAGCACCGCCGCTACAACAACACCAGAAACAGAAGCAGAATGGCCTCTGGGTTGTTCCCAAAGCTTCGGCAGTTGCATGGGCTTCTCAAAGTAACCAATTACACAGACTGGTTCTGCGTGCGCCGCCAGCAGGACAAAAAGACTCTGCATTAGGGTTTTAGGGTTTCAAGGTTGAGTTGCTTCAGGGCTTTCGAGCATAGGTCTGAGGGTTTGGGCCGTTTAAAAAGCAACAACAAATACAGCAAACGCACGCTCAGAACGTCAATGCGAGTCCTACTCGTGACACTACCCCTACTATCTACATCTGATTGTTGCGCTATCGCTGTTTTTGGGACGGTGAGCCGTATGGCTACTCTAATTGGCGTGAAAGTTGCAAAAGACAGCACTCACTCCAACACTCACCCCCAAATCCGACAAACCCAACGGCCTGCATCAGCTAGGCGCCAAGACCCTACCCAAAAAATTCCGACCCGACCCGCGAAACCCAACATGCCACGGCCAATTAAATAAGCCGAGCCCTTAGCCCCCGCGCCCGAGACACTAAAGGGAACTCCAGAAAGTTGGAATATGGTTTCAGGGTAGGATACCCTATTATTTACCATGAAGGGTTTAGGATAATCATATTCCAACTTTCTGGCTTTTACTTTAAGCTCAAATTTCCTTGACCCCCTCATGAGCCCCTGAGGCGCTATGACAAAGGCACCATAGTAGTTCCTGTTGAGGGTTCATATGTAGAATCCTATGAAGTAATCCCGAAGAAGGAACGACTGTGGGGCCTATGGGTACTCCCTTAACCGTAAGTAGGGCCCAAACAAAACACATGAGCAAAAATAAGGTTAGGGATATCCCATTTCAACCCCCTTACAATGAAGCCCCATAAGGTAGAGATATCCCTACAAAATGCTTATGCTTAGGTGCTTTTGGGGTCCCTAAGTAAGCCCTGAAGGTGAGAACCGTAGCAAAAATTATAATTGCAGCTGTTTCTTAGGGATTAGAATAACCAAAGTTTAAAAATATTTCTAAGTACCCCTAAGTAAGCCCCCAAGGTGAGTAGCCTGAGACTTTCGGAACTCTTCTCGAAGCGGTCGGTCACTGCGGAGAGGCCTCGACCCGAACTCAGACAGGATCCTACGGTTGATCCCAGACCTTCCAAAATCCCTTAATTAAGGAATATACCTTAATTCATATAAGGGGTCCTATTATAATTAAGGTATATTCCTTAATTAAGGGATTTTGGAAGGTCTGGGATGATATAAATCCTGCATTACCCTATAAGGACCCTAAACTATGGGAA